GCCTATTTTAATGTGGACGTGAATTCTGACTTGTTTTGGAGTCGAAATTGAACTTTAATGCTACATATATGCTAGGGTTTGAGTTGGGATTGAAATATACTAATTAGAGGGGCTGCTAATAGAGGAAAAACCAAAGGATTGATAAGGAATTGAAGACAAGGATCAAAGGAATCGACACAAAGAAAATTGAACTTGAAGACTAGAGAAGAATTGAAGATTGCAACTAAGTTTTCATTCTTTTCTTTTACGTTTACTTCTTGATTTTCTGAGATGTTGTTTAATTTGAGAATGATTTTTTTCAATTACGTTATGAACTAAATTTTTATTAAGATTGCAACGGAACCTCATATTTATTTAAATTGATTTACTCTCGTTTCTAGATCTATTGATCAAATATGACTTGTTTGTCATATATTGTGCTTAATATATGATTGTGTGGCCAACAATTAATTTGATTCCCTAGATGAAATTGGGAGATGATATCTAGGGATAGATCTGAATATGACAACATGCGTCTAGTTAGTTCTTCTTCGGATTGAATAGCTGGGTTTGTGTATAGGATATGAATATACCTATATGCCGTGTGTAATTTTTAGGAGAGTTTGAACTTAATGAATCTATTCCAAATTATTTTACATAGGAATATAATAATTTAATTGGGAGAGAAATTTTTATCTAACTATGGGAAGAGGTTTTATAAATAATTTTTAGTTCTCAGTTAACAAATTATTTTGATTAATTAACTAGAAAGAGAGTAGACATATACACCCTTAGGTGATATTTTTGTGATAGTTTTTGTACACCGTGTTCAGGGTATAACAATTATTCTTGTACATGAAATTTACACAGATGAATGAAATTTATTTACCTTCGGAATATCTATTTCACAAATGACTCCCTTTGTAATTTGAATAGTCACTTGGTGTTACAAACACACTTTTCAAAACTTCTCACTTCAAATGTTAGAGTTAGTGATTGACCAGCTACAACATGGAGAGAATTTTCATTCGCTTCTAGTAAATCCAAAAAAAAGAAAGATATTCTCCTGTATAAGATAAATCCTAAAATTTCTCATTAATAGAATAACTCCTAATATCTCAATTAGCCAAGGTTTTTCTCCCAGTATCCTCTTTCATGTCTCTCTCTCAGACACACTTTTCTCTCTCCTCTCTCTCTATATATATTTACAATACTATAACAATTAATTTAGGAGAGTTGAAAGGTAGGGACAACTCAAGGTAATTAGAGGCCTAAAGTGGTAACACTGAAGTTTTTTTTTTATTTTTAGTATTAATTTTTTTAAAAAAATAATTTATTGTTAATTTTTTTATGAGAGAGGAGGATGTGTTAAATAGAGAGAGAATGAAAGGGGGAGCCCTTGCAGCCTTGCTAGTGTTGATATGTGTGAGAGAGAGAGAGAATGAGTTGATTTTTTAGTTATTTTTTTTTAATTTTTTGAACTTTTGATCTTTGAATTTTTAGTGGATTAGATCATAGGCCCAAATTGTTGAAATTAAAATTTTTTTTTATTGTACTTAAATTTTTGAGGATTTTTTTATAGGGTTTAAAATTTTTATGTGGGCTTATGTATGTAAAATTATGAAACCTTTCTAAAAANGGAAAGGAGCTTCAAAAAAAAGACCTAGCTGTCCAGGGATAGATGGTAAGGATAACACCCAACGATGTGAACAGTAACTGATGAGTGGGTTTTATACCTATGAAATAAGTATTATGGGCTTGATGAAATTTCAAGTATTTTATGTTCCTTATTTATTTATTTTGTGTGTTTNATTCTAAAAATTTGGGCCATAAAGCTCCGGCTTTATTTACTTGAACCGGCCCTGTCAGAAAGACCATGTGGAATCTCCTATACCCTTTTTACCAAGGCAAAAAAAAAAAAAAGAAGGGAAAGGGTGCTTAGGAAACCTCCCTCATCAAGTCAGTNTTTCTAAAAATTTGGGCCATAAAGCTCGGGCTGTATTTACTTGAACCGGCCCTGTCAGAAAGACCATGTGGAATCTCCTATACCCTTTTTACCAAGGCAAAAAAAAAAAAGAAGGGAAAGGGTGCTTAGGAAACCTCCCTCATCAAGTCAGTATTAGATTTTTTTTTTATTTTGAATTATCTAATAACAATGGATTAATCTCATCTAATTAAATAATTCTATTCCACAAATTATTTTAAATTTGAATTTCTCATCCTTTTTAATTTTTGATTTTTAAATTATCCTTAATTATTTTGATATAGTCAATTAATTGCTCGTATCTTTTGATATTCATTTAGNTTTTTTTTTTATTTTGAATTATCTAATAACAATGGATTAATCTCATCTAATTAAATAATTATATTCCACAAATTATTTTAAATTTGAATTTCTCATCCTTTTTAATTTTTGATTTTTAAATTATCCTTAATTATTTTGATATAGTCAATTAATTGCTCGCATCTTTTGATATTCATTTAGTATTAAGGTTAAAAATTAACCATTAACCTGGCTTCAATATAACAATTAAGGAAGTCTTTACAATACTAAAATATATTTTTTTGGCACTGTATCAAATTATACTTTTTAAAGGTTGTGATTAAGCCTATCAAAATTTGAAAATATATGATTAACCAACACAAATCGACATGAAGTCAATGCCAAATTTTTGAGATAAATTTTTAAGATTACTACTTGCAAAGACAAAGTTATTACTCTTGAGATAAAGTTATCATATTTAAATTTGAGGTACAAACTCTTTAAGTAAAATTACAACAATTAAAATTAAAATTACTACAGCATTGAATCTTTTGTTTTAATTTTATCTTTTGTATTTGTACTTGTGGATTAACATTATAATTGGAAGATTTTAAAGTATTTTGTCTAATAGATGATTTTTTTTGTATATATATATATATATATGAACACATTTAAACTTGGTGTGTAGATTTGTATATGAATGGAATTGTATGTGAAATTATTTGACTGAAAGTCTTTTTGGTTTGTGTGATGTATTTCTATATACAAGGTAGAAATTGATAATATAAAAAAAATTTAAAAAAAAATTNAACAAACTCTTTAAGTAAAATTACAACAATTAAAATTAAAATTACTACAACATTGAATCTTTTGTTTTAATTTTATCTTTTGTATTTGTACTTGTGGATTAACATTATAATTGGAAGATTTTAAAGTATTTTGTCTAATAGATGATTTTTTTTGTATATATATATATATATATGAACACATTTAAACTTGGTGTGTAGATTTGTATATGAATGGAATTTTATGTGAAATTATTTGACTGAAAGTCTTTTTGGTTTGTGTGATGTATTTCTATATACAAGGTAGAAATTGATAATATAAAAAAAATTTAAAAAAAAATTGGCATTTTTTTGCGACAGCATTTTTACTGTAACAATTGTATTTTGTCAACAAATACATAACATTTGCGCCGGCAAAATCTCTGTCACAAATGCTATACAAAATTGCAACACCATTATTTGCATCAGGTAATTTCTGCCATTAATGTTTTTTGCGACGGCGTAATGCCATCTCAAATACTTTTTGCGGCACTATCTACTGCGGCTACTAAATGCTGCCGCAAAGTCACTGCAAAAAGTATTTGTGATGGCAAATATACTTTTCGCTGCAACACNAGTAATTTTTGCCATTAATGTTTTCTGCGACGGCGTAATGCCATCTCAAATACTTTTTGCGGCACTATCTACTGCGGCTACTAAATGCTGCCGCAAAGTCACTGCAAAAAGTATTTGTGATGGCAAATATACTTTTTGCTGCAACACTTCGCCGCCACAAAAAATATTTTTTCTTGTAGTGCCCATCACACCTACCATCACCGCTATTCGGCACCACCTATCACACAGTCACCTAGAAGAACCTATCGCCTCCCACCACCACCATCATCACGACCCACCACCAAAACCCACCACTACCACCACTTTCGTTGCCCCACCACCACCATTGCCAACCATTGTTACCATCACCCAAACCATCACCACCGCCCGTCACCCACAGTTGTCACTACCACCATTGTCATAAAAAAACTACCACCACCATCACCATTGCCACCCACAACTACCAGCACCACCACTCCCACCACTGTCATCGTCACCCACGACAACCATCACCGTTTCTTACCACCACTATCACTGCTCATCTCTACTATAATAGGTACTTAAAGTCTTTTCTCTTTCCTCTATGTTTGTGATTTAATTTTAGGTGTGAACAAAAATACGTTTATTGTTTATCATTTTTTTATTACTTTGTGCCTTTAAGCATGAGAAATAACTAGTATATTTATATGTTATCTAAACTTGTTATACAAGGATAAGATTAAACAGTACTCTTGTTTATACTATTTTATGGATTAAATGGGAACTGATTATCCAAGCCTATCCTTTATTTGTATCTGACCTAAACATGCCCTTGGTGTTTATTGATGCTTGAGATGGAACATTCATGTAATTGGGATGGTGATAGTGCAAATTTCACACAGAAATTCCCAAGTTCACCTATGAGAAATATATTAAGATCAAAAACTAAATAAAAATTAATGCAACCAACAATGAATTATTTAATTATTTTAGTAGATTAATAGAGAAGCGAATTGCTAACTTACTACAGATAAAAAAGACTAATGGGGCCTCCAGATTTTGATCCTTGGTGAATGCAGGAACCTAAAAAAGGTATCTGTATTAATAGCAACTCTTTCAAAACTTCACAAGTTGGGTCTGACGAACCTACAAATATGTAAACCCCTAAGGTCGTCGAGGCCCCTAGCCGCCTAAATCCCCTCTCTACTCCTTTCGTCCTCTTCATCACTGCACACCATATCATCCTCTCTTTACAATAGCTAGTGCCACTTTCTCTGTTTTCTCTGCCTCTCTTTTCCCCAAAAGCCATTTTCTCCTTTTTGCCCTCACCCCAAATTACACCTTTATTGCCCATCTCTGACCCTTTTCTTGGCATTTATTGCATCCTCATCCTATAATCTATGGAAATTGACAGGCATTTAAGGCCTTTACCAATCAATTGTGGGTCAAAGGTCAATGAATCACTGGTGAATAGCATTGATGGCAGGCCTGATGCATGCCTTGGTGGGAGTACTTTGGCAGAGGGTATAAATCTAACTATGATTGTTGAGGATGTATATGCTCAAACACAAGCACGAGCTGGTAAGGTCCTCGCTGATCAGACTAGGTTCGATAGAGAAGAAGTTACTGAGTCAGTGATAGAGCAAAACAGGTTGCAGAAACTGATTATTAAGAATGACCTTCTCAAGCATTTTTTTGAAGCCAAAATGGAANGCAGGTTACAGAAACTGATTATTAAGAATGACCTTCTCAAGCATTTTTTTGAAGCCAAAATGGAATACCTAGGTTGAAATAAGTCTCAAATTAGGCTTAGTGGCGGTAATGGGAAGAGTTATGGTTAGACCTCCCAAAGAGGTAGCCCAAGAGGGATATTCCAAATGGGAAGCTTGTATAGTGGGGTACTATATTGACAAGAAATTGTCTTTCCAAGTTGTGAAAGCATCAGCTATGAGGATGTGGGGAAACAAAGGGTTATTTGATGTTATTGCCAATGAGAATGGATTCGTCTTCTTTAAGTTCTCAAGTACAGGTAATAGAAATAAGGTATTGGAAGGGGGTCCATGGCATATTGGTGGCCAGCCTATTATATTAAGAAAATGGCAGCCAAGACTCAAGCTTACAAAGGAGGTTGTGAGGAAGATCCCAATTTGGATAAAATTTTATAATATACCCACTGAATATTGGATTGCCACTGGGTTTAGTTACATAGCTAGTGTAAGTTGGAAAACCTTTGTATATGGATAAGTTGATGGAGGAGGATAGTAGAGCTACTTTTGCAAGGATTTGTGTAGAGGTTGATGCAAGTGAGCCTTTACTGGATGCCTTTGATCTAATGGTGGAAGGTGACAGTGAAGAGGATAGTGAGAAAATTGAAATTAAGGTAGTTTACCAATGGAAACCAATTCGATGTGATCAATGCAAAGTTTTTGGGCATAGCTACCATACAATAGCTACTCCCATTGAGAAGCAGCAAAACATTGAGAAGGGAAACGCTTCTGTTAATTCTAAAGCGTCTAACCAGGTTAAGGTTAGGGACTGTGTTCAGGGTGAACTAGTCAGAAATAAGGATGCTGGATACAAAGGGGTACAAAGTCTGACACAAAATCATCATCTTATTTTAGATGGACAAAGTGAACAGTGGCAAATAGTGAAGAGCAAAGGGAAAGAGAATGTGATAGAAGAGCAACCTTTAAGACTGGAGGTAAACTTGTCATCTGAAATAGAGTGCTCGGTGAAAAGGGCTGTAGAACCTTCCAACAAGTTCTAGGCTTTGGATTTAATACTAGCTATAGAGATGGAGGAGGCAGAAGAGGGCGCTAGTGATTTTGAGTCGCCTGAAACCTAGATCCATGATGGACAAAATCAAGGCCATTGACGAGGTGGAAAAGTTGCTTTCTACATCAACTAGAAAGAAACAGAGGAAAACTAGAGGAAAGAGTAAGCAATCTTTGAACTCAAGATTGGTGGCTCCCTGCGAGGGGTTGAGGTCGTCACTGTCACATAAAATTTCTAATGACTAGTTTCTTTTGCTAGAATGTGAGGGGGCTGAATGGTCCTGTAAAGCAAGAGGAAGTACGAAAACAAGTGAACCAATATGGTGTTGGTTTGTGCTGCCTTGTCGAAACCAAGGTTAGAAAGATTAATTGTGATGTTATTTTTAGAAGAATGTTGCCAAATTGGAGACTCGTTGATAATTATGATCACTCAACTAGAGGGAGAGTATGGGTATGTTGAGACCCCATTTTTTTTAATGTAAGATTGGACGGGCTTATTGACCAGGTTGTGCATTGCACTATTGTTAACCTGACCGACCAGAAGATTTTTTTTGCATCTTTTGTTTATGCCCAGAATGATGAGGGACCTAGAAAGCAACTATGGTATAATCTTGAACAAAGGGTTGCAGCTGTACAGTGGAAAGCATGGATTGTTTTGGGAGACTTTAATGTGGTCAAATCCAACTCCGAGAAGGTAGGAGAGGTTAGTGTGAGAGACAAAGAGAGTGAGGATTTTTGTGAATGCCTATTCAGGATTGATCTTGAAGACTTAAAATATTCGGGAAACCAGTACATATGGTGTAACAGAAGATTTGATGGTGGTTTAATTGCTAAGAAGCTGGATAGAGCATTGGTTAATGAGGTTTGGGGAAGAGCCTACCCAAATTCAGAAGCTGATTTTTTTACCCCAGGAATTTCCGACCATTCATTAGCCCTGGCTATAATGGGGATAGAACTCCCTAAGTGTAGGAAGCCATTCAAATTCTTCAATTTTTGGGCGAATCATCGGGATTTCTTTTCAACTGTCACTAGAGTTTGGGCCACTCAAATAAGAGGATCTCCTATGTTCAAAATCTATCAAAAGTTGAAGATTCTCAAAAAAGATTTAAAGGATTTGAATAAGAGGAAATACAGTGATATATCATCCAAAGTTATAGCTGCAAGGCAGGCCCTCCAAGATATTCAAACGAAAGCAGATAGAAGTCCTTTGAACATGCACCTATGGAAGGAAGAAAGAGAGAAGTTGAGAAAGTATGTTGAACTCAGGGAAGTAGAGGAAAGTTTTTTCAGGCAGAAATCCAAAGTCCAGTGGCTGAACTTGGGGGATCAAAACACGAGTTTATTCTTCAAGCATATTAATAAACAAAGAATACAGAGGAAGATCACTACCATTCAAAAAGAAGATGGGACCAAGGTCACTAAGTATCATGAAATTCAGGAGGAGGTTGTTAGCTATTACCGCTAGCTACTTGGTGGGTCTCTTCCTAGTTCTGCAATACCTGTGCAGTAGGTTAATCACTACATCAGAAGGAGAATCTGTTCAGATCTTGCAGCTCATTTGTCCCTTGATGTCACCAGAGATGAAATCAAGCGTGTATTATTCTCAATGAAGGATGGGAAGGCCCCAAGTTCAGATGGCTATTCTGCTAGATTCTTTAAGAAAACATGGCATATTGTGGATGATGAAGTGACTGATGTCGTCATGTTGTTCGTTGTTTCTGGGAAGCTGTTGAGGGAAGTTAATTCTACCATTATTGTTTTGGTTTCCAAGGTACCTAATCCTTCTATGCTTAATGATTACCAGCCAATTTCATGTTGTAACATCATTTACAAATGTATTTCAAAGATATTGGCCATCAGAATCAAAAAAGTGCTACCTGAGCTAATTGACAAATCTCAAACTGCATTCATAAAAGGTAGAAGAATGTCTGATAACATCCTGCTTTCCCAAGAACTCTTAAGGAACTATCATCTGGATAGAGAGAGTCCTAGATGTACATTGAAAATTGACCTTATGAAGGCTTATGATAATATAAGGTTGGAGTTTATTCTAGAAGTGATGCAAACCATGGGTTTTCCCAACAGTTGATTAGATGGTTTCAGACGTGTATTACTTCTCCTATGTACTTAATGGGTCTTAATGGTGAGTTGAATGGTTATTTTGAAGGAAAAAAAGGTTTAAGACAGGGAGATCCCTTGTCTCCTTATCTTTTTGTGCTTGCAATGGATATTTTTAATGACATTATGAAGGAGGTAGCTGAGCTGGGCAAATTCAAGTATCATTAGAGATGTGGCAAGGAGGATATTTCTCACCTTTGGTTTGCTGACGATGTTATGATCTTCAGTAAAGGAAATCTTGATTCAATTAGGACTATCATGGATGCCCTCCAGATTTTTTAAGAACTTTCTGGGCTTAAAGCTAACCCAAGCAAGTGTGATTTTTACTGCTCTAGCATTAATAATGTGGATAAAGTGGAGATCATGCAATTAATGGGGGTTCCAAATGGTGAATTGCTTGTGAGATATCTGGGTGTTCCTCTCATTACCACTAAATTGAGGGCTGGGGATTGTCAGCCGCTGGTTGAGAAGAGTACTGCCAAGGTAAGTTCCTAGTGCAACAAATCATTTTCATATGCTGGCAGAGTGCAACTGATCAGCTCAGTTTTCTTTTCAATTCAAGGTTTTTGGTCTTCTTTATTTATATTGCCAAAAAAAGTAGTCAAAGCAGTGGAGCAAATTATGAGAAGATTCTTATGGTCTGGTATGGATCTTAAAATGTCTAGAGCCAAGGTGACTTGGGACAAAGCGTGTCTCCTAAAGGATGAAGGGGGACTTGGGTTTAAAAGCATGGAACAGTGGAACAAAGTTACTGTTATGAAACATCTATGGAATGTTATAAGCAAAAATGACAACTCAATATGGGTGGATTGGATTTATTCATATCTTCTAAAAGGCAAGAGCTTCTGGAGTGTGAAAATTCCTCAAAATTCATCTTGGGCATGGAGAAAAATTCTAAATTTGAGAAAGGAAAGTTTAGCAATGGTGAATTACAAGATTGGGAATGGTGACTCAACTGTTCTCTGGTTTGATCCATGGCATCCAATTGGTTCTATCTACCAGCATAAGGGAGAGTCCATTATTAGGGAATCAGGGCTTGGGAGAGACGCTAAAGTTAGTTCTATAATTAATAATGGTGACTGGGATTGGCTGACGACAAATGGGGACAAGATGGAGCTACTAAGAGGTATTGCTCCTAATATGAAACCTGTCATGAGTCAGAGGGACTATGTCTTGTGGCTACCGTCTAGAACCCAGATTTTTAGCTCTAAATCTACTTGGGAGGTAATTAGAGAGAAAGGCCAGATGCAAGATTGGGCTGGTATTGTATGGTTTTCTGGTGCTGTGCCTAGATACAGTTTTATTTTATGGCTGGTTGTTCAAAACAGGTTTTCCACCCAAGACAAGCTTATATCATATGGTGTTATTCATTTAACTCATTGTGTGTTTTGCAGAGAAGTAGTGGAAACTCGTAACCGCCTCGTTTTTGAATGCCCTTTCACTGAGAGAATATGAATTTCATTGAAAGACAAAGTGAAGGTCCAATAACCAAGACTTGATTGGCTTGATTTGGTTAACTGGTATGCTGCAAATATGAAGGGAAAGGCTTTTCCAAAGCTGATGGGCAAATTGATGCTCGCCACCTCAATTTATATGATTTGGAGGGAGAGGAATCACAGGATTTTTAAAAACTCATATAGAGATGTGGTCTCCATTTATAACGAGATAGTGGAAAATGTTAGACTCAAGCTTNAGAATGTGAGGGGGCTGAATGGTCCTGTAAAGCAAGAGGAAGTACGAAAACAAGTGAACCAATATGGTGTTGGTTTGTGCTGCCTTGTCGAAACCAAGGTTAGAAAGATTAATTGTGATGTTATTTTTAGAAGAATGTTGCCAAATTGGAGACTCGTTGATAATTATGATCACTCAACTAGAGGGAGAGTATGGGTATGTTGAGACCCCATTTTTTTTAATGTAAGATTGGACGGGCTTATTGACCAGGTTGTGCATTGCACTATTGTTAACCTGACCGACCAGAAGATTTTTTCTGCATCTTTTGTTTATGCCCAGAATGAGGAGGGACCTAGAAAGCAACTATGGTATAATCTTGAACAAAGGGTTGCAGCTGTACAGTGGAAAGCATGGATTGTTTTGGGAGACTTTAATGTGGTCAAATCCAACTCCGAGAAGGTAGGAGAGGTTAGTGTGAGAGACAAAGAGAGTGAGGATTTTTGTGAATGCCTATTCAGGATTGATCTTGAAGACTTAAAATATTCGGGAAACCAGTACATATGGTGTAACAGAAGATTTGATGGTGGTTTAATTGCTAAGAAGCTGGATAGAGCATTGGTTAATGAGGTTTGGGGAAGAGCCTACCCAAATTCAGAAGCTGATTTTTTTACCCCAGGAATTTCCGACCATTCATTAGCCCTGGCTATAATGGGGATAGAACTCCCTAAGTGTAGGAAGCCATTCAAATTCTTCAATTTTTGGGCGAATCATCGGGATTTCTTTTCAACTGTCACTAGAGTTTGGGCCACTCAAATAAGAGGATCTCCTATGTTCAAAATCTATCAAAAGTTGAAGATTCTCAAAAAAGATTTAAAGGATTTGAATAAGAGGAAATACAGTGATATATCATCCAAAGTTATAGCTGCAAGGCAGGCCCTCCAAGATATTCAAACGAAAGCAGATAGAAGTCCTTTGAACATGCACCTATGGAAGGAAGAAAGAGAGAAGTTGAGAAAGTATGTTGAACTCAGGGAAGTAGAGGAAAGTTTTTTCAGGCAGAAATCCAAAGTCCAGTGGCTGAACTTGGGGGATCAAAACACAAGTTTATTCTTCAAGCATATTAATAAACAAAGAATACAGAGGAAGATCACTACCATTCAAAAAGAAGATGGGACCAAGGTCACTAAGTATCATGAAATTCAGG